GGCCCTGGTGCTGTCCACTGTTTCCCAGGATTCTCCCTCCTTTTAAATACAGAATCTCTGTTTTGGATTATTCCGCCTCCCCACCCCCAGCGGATTAGCTTACATTTTCCTCAGCTGAATCCATTTTGTTATTTCGTGCCCATATTTCAAGCACATTTTACGGTTCCCTGGTGGCACTGGCCTTCCACAAAATGGTACTAAGACACACCAAAGCAAAGGAAGCATAGAGGAGAATGTGCCTCTCTTTTTATGCCTCCAGCCTGTTCCTGTGCAGTTTAATTTTAAAACATGAACTACGCGGGGAATATATTGCCGCATTTACTCTAGAGGAGTGAACTGAAAATGCTGTAGGTAAACTGTGCCACCCTCCATAGTGTCATCACACCCAGCAGCCAAGTCAAATGGACAGTGAAGCAAAGGGAGGGACAAGAAGCCAAATAAACACAATATGGCCAAATTATGCCTTCCAAAGCAGATGCGGTGTTCCCACTGAAGTAACTGGGAGTTGCACATACGCAGCCGAGGGCAGAATTAGGCCTGTTCTTATGTACAATAGGTGTAATAATTATATCTTTGGTCCTGACTCGCAGTGTTGTGAGATGATAATTATTTCCCAGGTGTTACCATGACCTTCTTCTAGTGCGGTTTGTTTACCACTTCAGTATTGTAATTGCACCTTTTAAAAAAGTTCTCATTTTCAGCTCGAAAAGCTGTAATTTAGTATTGCATTTCTAACTGCTGACTTGGAATTGGAAGCTTGGCCCTCGTTTGGTTTCCTCCGTTCCCTGTTCATCTGCCATAGACATCAGAGACCTGGAAATCAGCTCTACATCTGTCTGAAGGAAAATCTTTGTTCTATAGAATGCACCGAAATCATTTTGCTGGTTTCAGTTCCCCAAGCTGTGCCATGGGAATAGATTACTTCTCTTTTACCTGAGCATGTCTCTACATCCACCGGAGAGTCCTGCTTAGGTCTTGTCTACATGAACACTTAGATTGTGGCAAGCTGGGGTGTGAATCTACCCCATGCTAGTCTGCTGCGCACTAAGTGTTCGTGCCGCTGGGCATTAAAAGTTCCCTAGTGCGTTTAATCTACGCTCATTGCAAAGCAGGGTAGATCAAAGCACACTATGGGACTTGGATTGCACGTCAGCAGGATCCACACGGAGAGTTAATGAGCTGGTGCAGGGTAGATTTATGCCCCAGTTTGCCACGTACTACGTGTTCATGTAGACAAGCCCTTACTATTTCTTCTATAGTTCCTCCCCAGATGACATTTGCACCCAGCCTACTGGATAATTTTACACAGTCTCCAGTGTATTATGCACATGAACATCCATAGTATTTCTTAAGCTAACAAACATGATTAATGAATGAGTCACTTGCATACATACGTGCTTTTCCATACACCCACATAATGAATAGGCCAGGAAACAATAAAGATACCTCCTCATTTACTCAGTTTTGACATGCTTGTCTTTATTTCTCCCTCTGATACAAAAAAATCGATATCACTCCCAGCTTTCTGGCAAGGAGATATTTGGTTTTTAGTTTGCTAAAGATCTACCAAATGGTCATCACGTCAGGTTTTGTATTTACGTCTTTCTCTTTGCTTTTATTCTAGGGCCCCGCCTATTATAGGTTATTTACCCTTTGAGGTTCTGGGAACGTCAGGTTATGATTATTACCACGCTGATGACCTGGAGCTTCTCGCTAGGTGCCATGAACACTGTAAGTTCCTTTCCCGTTGCTTGCAGGGAACTGATAACATGAGCTTATGAGAGTTGTGCAAAAATGTATATGTTTATTAGGGAAATTCTTCCCTATTCCTGTAAAATATGGCTCAGTTCATGCCTAACTAGAGAAGATGAATCCCTAGGAATCCATTATTTTATCATGGCAAATTTTATCAGTGAGAATTTCCCAAACAGGCAGATATCTGTTGTGTTTGGGCGCTGGAAGTCAGTCTCCCTAACATGCGGTTACACTGCGAAACTGGGAGCCAGAGCTCTTGTCCTCCGTTCCTGACTCTGCTATTGTGTTGCTGTGCAAACAACCTTGATTCTTGGCATGCGTCCGATGAAGTGGGTTTTAGCCCACGAAAGCTTATGCCCAAATCAATTTGTTAGTCTCTAAGGTGCCACAAGGACTCCTCGTTCTTTTTGCTGATACAGACTAACACGGCTGCCCCTCTGAAACTTGATTCTTGGGTTTTTGCTGATTGTCACAGCGGCTGGGCACTCTCCATTCCCATTGTCCTCAATGGGACCTTGCGTACTTAGAACCTCTGGAAAACGGGGCTATAATTAAGTTCTGAAGCAGGTTATAATTAAGTTCTTTGTGCCTAGATTACCCATCTGTAAAATAAGCATAATAGTGCCACCTCATTAAGTTGTTGTGATACTTAATTACTTACTATTTGTAAAATGCTTCTACCATACTGAGATGGTGTCTCAAGAAATATTGTGTACAGATTCCCTGTTGGCTAAAACGGGTGGTATCTGTCTGTCAGTCTGTCTCTCAAATCAATCCGAGAGGAAGGGGTAGTTTTATCAAAAGTGCAAAAGAACTAACTCTATAGGGCAGGGGTGGCCAAACTGCAGCTTGTGAGTCACATGCAGCTCTTTTACTGCTAAAGTCTGGCTCCCAGAGCCCCGCCATGTCCTCCCTTCTCCACCTACCAGACTGGGGCAGGGGGGAAGCTCGGGGCTTCTGCCCTGCAGCAGAGTGGTGGGGCCAGGGGCTTCTGCCAGATATGACTGGTGCCTCTTGAGGGGAGGGGCACAGTCGCCCCCCCCCTCCCAACAGCTTGAGTCATGCCCCACCAGGCACGCTTCCCTTCAGCAACCCATCCCTGCAGCTCCCAGCTTGCCTGCTCCAGCAGCTGCCATGCAGGAGGGAGACCCGGTGGCACCATGTGACCAAGCAGGGCCAGCAAACCCCCTGGCAAAAATCTCAGGGTGTGTGTGAGCCCATGTTCTCCCCTCTCCCCCCCATGCATCCCCTCTGGCTCCTGCCCAGCGGGGTGGGAGGTCTCAGGGCTTCAGCAGGAGCGGGGCTTAAGCTCTGAGCCCCGGCAGGTGCACCCCGGCTCTCGAACGTCTGAAGATCGTTGTATGTGGCTCCGACTGTCAGTAACTTTGGCCACCCCTGCTAGGTATGGTTGTACAATAAGGAACTAACGCGGGTGTATGTGTAACCCCTGCCCTCTGCTGGATAGAATCAGAACTGCTCAATGGTGTGTCACAGTCCTATATCGCTATAGGACCAAACTGTCTTAATAGCTAAAGCAGAATCTGAGTCTATCCAGCAGAGGGCTGTCTCCCTTGGAAACATCCACGGGAGGGGTGGGTGGAGGAGTAAAACCTCCCTGAACTTTCATCCTGGAGTTTTCCTGGGATTTTTGCAGGGACAGTTTTGAGGTTCCCTGACAGATTATGTGGATCCCAGGGGATCTGCAGCTGCCCATTGTCATCAGGGTGGAAGCTCTGTGCCTGCACTAACTCTGGAGCCACTAGCCAGCTCCCAGGTGATATGGCTTCATTGGCAAGATGTGGGCAGCTTCTGGCTGGATACCCCATGGGTGCTTATTCCCACCCAGTTTCAGATCTCTGACCCCACAGAGGACTCTCTGGGGTTGGGGATGAGAGGGTGGGTGCTGAATAGGCAGGGGCAGATGCTTCCCCACTCCATATCCTGCACAAGAAGATCAACCCAGAAAGTCTCCCTTGCACTGATAACTCTGGGGAACAATCAGGCCCAGTGTGTATGCGAATGTGCCATGTGTGAATGCCATTTTTTGGGGCAATAAGGTAACAAGAATCAAATGGAGCTCTGCAGTCGAGTTGCCATGGCCCCTGTGTCACACTTCAGGGCAACTGCAACTGTATTCCCCCTCTGTGGTCCAGCAAAGGCACCCATAGGCTTCTGGCTCCCCAGCTCTCACCTCTGATGGGCGGAGACATGCATCTGTCTCCCTCCCGACTGGGGTACTTCCAAGTTGCACAGCTTTGTGAATTCCCCACCAAGGCCTCCTTTGCCTTCTCCTCAGAGGCTGGAAACAGCATAATTGCCCACAGTAAAGTTACCACACAGCCCTTTGTAAGCAAGCACATTTATTCTTAAGGTAAAAGCAGTACAGAGAAAACATTAAAAACAATAAAAGAACCTACACGCATGCTAATAAGCTTACTAGAGATCACCCCAACTCTACCAAGGGCTCTGACAGGGGCTCAGTCCTTCAAATACCACACAGATGGTTTTCTGTGGTTACACATTCATGATACCTTTTGCTCAGAATAAGAACACCCAGGAATCTGAGTCACTCCTTTATCCAGCCTCGGTCTTTGATCTGGGAATAAGTAATTCATAGACAATGGGTTTCTCCTCAGGGCATAGCTTCAAAAGCGTTGGGTCCAGAGGTGGAAATTTGCATTTCCCTCCTCCCAAATATTTCCTGGGAAACCCACGCAACTTTGTTTATCCCAAACTTTCCTTCTTGTCTGGCCCATTGTTTAAAAGACTCCTTTGACGCTCAAGGGTTTACATTAATCATGTCTCCACCCTGGAGATGTGCCATTCAATCCCACAGTAGTACATAAACGTTTGCATTTTTAATGCAATGAATTCCTAAAATACATAAACTGAATTCAGTAAGGTTTGTCCAGGATATTTCAGGAAATTGCCATGTATGTCACACACTGGTATTATTGGTTACATGTCATGACCTGTAATAGTGTGTGCTGAATGTTCTCATTAGCCAGATTAGGAAGAACACTCAACCTGCTGCTATCTACCCAGTGGCTTGCTTTTAAGTTCTTCAGGGACCATCCATACCATGCCTGGCTTGCTTCTGCTACAATATACCATGCTGGTGTTACTACAGATCTCACTGGAGCTTGGACCTACTCTAAGGAGGGGCTGGGAGGTGGCATTAAGTAAATGTGGTTGTTTCACTACCTGGTGTGGGTTTGTAAAGCTTCTCTGGTATTGTTTTATGACCCCATATTTTTTTCATTTCATCTGAACCTGAAGCCTATAGGCACCTGAACCCCTATAAACCAGCTCTGTTCTCTGCCTGGGTTGTGCAGGTGGTGGGAGCATGCTCAGCTACCCCATTGGAGCCAGCCAGCCATGACGTAAATGCACACTGGAGAACCTTAGATGAAAACTCAGGTTTTAAGTTCCTTCTTAAGCGCTCAATTGCCCGTCTCAGCTGCTTCTGCTCTCATCAAGACGGAGCATTATATGCAACACTTGTAGCTCCCATGGGGCTTATCCATGCGTGACAGTCATGAGCCTCACATTGTAGTGTCCAAAAGGGTGCATTTTTGACTTCTCTAGCATTAAAGGCTGCATACATAGGCGCCGGCTTCCTCCGGGCCTGGGGGGGTGCTCAACCCCCTGCTCCACCCCGACCCTTTCCCCCACCTGACCCCTTCCCCCAAATCTCCACCCCCGTCCCGCCCCTGCTCTGCCCCAGGCCGAGCCCCCACTCCACCTCTTTCCCGCCCAGTTCCATCCCTTCCCCTCAGCGTGTCCCATCCCCACTCCTTCCCCTCCCTCCCAGAGCCTCCGGCACTCTGTGAAACTGCTGATTGGGGCAAGCGGTAGGCGCTGGGAGGCAGGGGGAGGTGCTGCTCAGTGGGGCAGCAGGTGGGCAGGAGGCACTGGGGAGTGAGGGAAGCTGGTTGCCAGTGAGTGCTAAGCACCCATTCATTTTTTTCTGTGGTGCTCCAGCGCCCATGGAGTCGGCACCTATGGTTGTGTATGTAATATAGTATATGTGGGTGGGTGGGTGACACCTTCCAGTACTATAGACCCAAGACTGTAGATGCAAGTATAGAATTTGGAATCGAGTCAGTTTCAAAGGGTGAGTTAAAAGTAGTTTCAGGTACTGCATGTGCTTCTCGGTCCCCCGGCCTTATCTTGTGCTTTTACATCCAGTTTTTTTCTTCCCTCTTGCTGTGCAAAAGACCCAAACCAACGACAGGGGACTGAGTGCTTGGCTGAGTACACAGAGGAAACAGTGAAAATGACTACACACAAATTGTGTCAAACGCATGAAGGAAACTAACTGAAATAATAGAGAAAATTGTTTTGGTCCAGCTATATATTATCAGCTATAATAATCTTTGGTGCTATCTGGAACAGTAGTAGGTAGAAAAATCCCATTCAGCCAGAAGTGTGGTTTTAAATTGACAATGTCTTTTTATTATCGTGTGCTTGCAGTCAAGGGCTTTTTACCAGCCACAAGGGCGAGTGGTGGGCAGGGAGGGGGCAGAGAGGAGCGAGTGGGGGGTCAGGGTCTTGGTGGGGAGAGGCAGTGCAGGAGCGGGGCCTCAGGGGAAGAGGCAGTGCAGGGGCAGGGACTTGTGGGAAGAGGCAGCGCAGGGGCGGGAACTCACAGGGAAGGGGTGGCGTGAGGGCGGGGCCTTGTGGGGAACGAGTGGTGGGAGGTCAGGGGAGAAGGGGTGGGGCCTCAGGGAGAACGGGTGGTGCGGGGGCAGGGCCTCGGGGGTGGTGCAGGGGGCAGGGCCGCAGTTCAGCCTATATAGATACGTAACTCTACTGGATCTGTGGGTGGAATCTGGTACTCAGGCATCTAATCTACCTACTTAGTTACTTATATTCCCCATCCCGATATTTTCTGAGCACCTCACAAGCACTAAGAAAGTTATCTGCTCAACTACCCCTGCATGGACAGGAAGTGTTGTTATCCGCATTTGGCACGTGGGCAATCTGAGGAACAGACGATTAAATGACTTGACCACGGTACTCAGGACATCTGCGGCAGAGCTAGGAAGTGACTCTAGCGCCCTTGGCTCCCAATTCAGTGCATTAACCACAAGACCATCCATTCTTCTCTGTGGGCCTCATCTAAAGCCCTTCAAAGTCAATGGGAGTCTTTCCATTGAGCACAGTGGGCTTTGGATCAGCTCCTGAAAGAGTTCAGTTGTAGACACAGTGAATTGCTGGTGCAAAATTGTGCCTGTAGTTTGGGAAGCCCTTTTAAAAGCCTGGTCATTAATATTACATTTTATTACATTTTTTTAAACAACCCTCGTTAAATGGTATTTTAAAAGGGAGATGTAAGTGGTTAACTTTAGACACAACTGGCTCTCAAAGGAAGACTTGGTCCCGCTCATATACCGTCTAATCTGTGGATATTTCAATTAGCAGTTAAACAGACTTCCACTTTCAGATCAGGGTTCTTCTATTATCAGCTTCCTGACTTTAAGCCAGCGATGTCTGAAATGCGTGCAGATAGACTGAGAAAGGGCCAATGTACCGTTCGGTTGATGTCATTTATAGGTCCTGTTCGCTGGCAAAGAAGCAGAATCTCTGCCTGTGCCAGCTATGACCATTTATAAAAATGAACCCCAAATATCGGAGCACTTTCTTTTTAAATTAATAACCGCAAATCAGATTAAAACTCAGCACCCGGTTGAAAATGTAAGCGATGTTGAGGACGGATTGATAGCAATGTTAGCGGTGTTAGACGGGACAGAGCATTTCTTCTAATCTCAATTACAATCAGAATGTAACGGTTATTAACCAAATTGTTTCTTTTTGTTTAATAGTGATGCAATTTGGAAAAGGAAAGTCCTGTTACTACAGATTCTTGACCAAAGGCCAGCAATGGATATGGTTGCAAACGCACTATTACATCACGTACCACCAGTGGAACTCCAAACCTGAGTTCATTGTTTGCACACACCTTGTAGTTAGGTAGGAATATGTGCTTAACCCTTTCTGTTAATCAGTGTGCTCATCCATTCCATTTTTCCATTCTTTTATGTGTTAGCCAAATATTTGCGGTGTGATTTGACTCACTATGATGATACATAGTTATATAAAATTATTATGGGTGAGAGCTTGGAAATTGTTTTTAATGTTTTCATTACTCACTTTTTGGCAACTAAGTCAAAAAGCCTGGAAGTAACATTTGGCTGAGTATATGACGTTCCACTTTTGTCCTTAGCCATGACACAGATACATCAAAAACTTAAAGCTGCTCATAACCAGAATGCTGTATGGATGTCAGTGTATTCATACACTTCTTTTTGAACACAGCTCTAGATAGTTGTGACTTGGAGATAGCTGTTTGCGTTACCCGTCTCTGAACTGTAAAATGTAGCACATGACACCCCCTAGTGGTGGTTCTATTGTACTCGTAGCATTAAATAATGTGCTATGAATCTTGTACAGTCTTGTTCTAGTTTTGGGAGGTTTGTGATACACAATGACTGGGTTGGAATCTGCTTCCATCTATGTCAGCGGTAAATTTCCATTGCCGGTTCGAACAAGACCGAGTGTATACTTAGAATGGATTTAGTGGAGGGTTTTAAAAAGAAAGTGACATACCAGTTTGGTCAGCTAATTTTAGTAAAATGTGAATTTATCCTTGTCTTCCCTGTTTGAGACTATCAAATATTTGGAGAAAAGCCCATTAGTAACCAGTCGTTCTGTTTAGATATTTTGAAACACAACCTTAAGAGCATCGTATCCTAATAAGTAGGCATATGTGGGTAGAATGATATATGCTAGTATAAACCACACACTGAGAGCTGTTTTAATTTGAATGCATTCATGATGGTACTTACATATCTTGAGGCTTGTTGATTCTGCCCTGTTTTGGGGAATTTTTAGATCTTTCTGTCACCTAAGGTTCCGACCTTATGGAGTGTGAGCATATATTTCTGTCTCTGCCTCTGGTACATGCTCATCCTAAATAAAGTCCTAGACACCCATCAAATAATTCAGGTTGAACATACATTTTACTTAGTAAAATAGAAAAATTAATAGAACCTTGGATTTGAAAGATGAAATAAAGGAAATTTGCGGCTAAGGGGCCAGATTCTGAAGCGGTGTAAATGGGCAACTCCCAATTGACTTCTTAATGGATCTGTGCCCATTAACCCCACCTTAGGATCTGGTGCTTACCCCAACCTTAGTTCTAACACTGTACCCTTGACCACACTCTATATACGTACTGGAGAGTCTCTGAAATATCTCCTGGATTTTAAGAACTCTCATAGTTAAATCTCAGGTCAAATAAACCATTAATGTTTTATTATTTAAAAGGCAGTTAGTAAGAGTTGCAAGAGAGCTTAGACTCTGAGGCACATTCTCCAAGGATCTCAATGGGCTTTAAATTTGGCTCATCACTTGCCATCATTCCACATGCCCAGCTTCCACTGAAGTCAGTAGGTAGATTTGTATTCCCATCTGTGGTGATACGTGGTGCTGGCTGCATGCTTTGAAAATGTGCCACCCCATGACTGAGAGGAAGGTTCCCGCGCAAGTGTGACACTGTTCAGTTACAAAAACAGGGGTCACAGCCATGCAGGCCTTCCTCAGGCGAAGCTCCCCGGAGCACAGCTTGAGTCCCATTGAGCTACTGTACCACTGTTATTAAGGCACACAAGAAATTGGCTACAGGCTGGAAGCTGTGTGTACCTCCTACTGTCACTTACTTGCATCAGGACTGTTTCTCTGACAGGCTGTGGAGAATGGGAAGTTCCTCCGTGAAGGTAATTGTAGTAAGGATGAAGATGCTCTTTTTCCCCGCTGTTCACAAAGGAACATAGTTACAGAGCTTTGCTCTGAGTATCGTTTTGCTTGAAGACATTTAGGGCTGGAATCTATAAATCAGCGTCTCAGTTGGTGCCCCAGATTACATGTGCAGCTTCTTGCATCTGCTCTGCAGTTTTGCATGTGCAAATAGTACGTGTACACCTGTAAATCGCAAGTAGACCATAGAATACTGTCCCTTTTGCCCACGAACAATTGCGTGTGTACAAAGCTGCAGGTACAAAATAAGAGGTCCTCAGAGAACTGTATATCAGCTTAGCGATCATTAAGGAAGCAGCCATTGTTTTTATTTCACAGCCTACTTTTCACTTCCAATAGGGAATAAGAATTTTGTTCTAAATCTCTCTTTTTTTTTCTCCAATGTAGTTATGCAGAGGTTCGAGCTGAAAGAAGGAGAGATCTTGGCCTTGAGGAGTCATCAGTCGAACTGGCCTCTTCTTCTTTGAAGGTAGTGCATGCTGAAGGGAACGAATAAAAGGAACTCATTAATGTTAGAAAAACATATGGACTACGCCTCCCCTGTTTCCCTGTACTCACTTCAGCCTCCAAACCGGCTAGTTCTTTATCTTTCAAACCCGCTAGGAGGATTTTAACACTGCATTGCACTACAATAGCTCGTTTATAACAATGCAAACTCAATGATTGCATCGTTATTATACCGCTAGGTCAGATCTCCCGCTCTCTCTGAGACCTTTACCCAAATTATATCTTAAGCCACCTCAGTTCAGTAGAAGAAAAGAAGCTATTTTACAAGAGAGCAGAATGAAGTTTGTTAGATAGTAAATGATGTACTAACGCTCAGTACCACCGACATACGAGACACTGACTACAGATCAGTACCACAGTGTTTGCCGCTTTTATGCTGACTCACCATGGATAATCAGACAAAGATAGGAAGTGAAGGGAAAAGAATGATTTATTGGTTTTTTTTTTCCCCAGGTCTCAGCCATATTTGCAAGGTTGGGCTGGATACAGAGGGAGGGCAGAGCTGTGATCATAGCAATAATTTCCATTGTTTGGATCAATCGGGCATTGTCATTCATGCTCAGTTAACAGGGTCATTTCAGTTTCGTTTAAGTATATCCACCGAACAGCTTCAAAACAAGACATTGCAAAGTAATCGCAGGTGGCTCGTTGGGTAATCGTTTGGGGTTATCAATCTGCTGGCTTTATAGCTCTTCAGATGTTACTTTAGAAAAGCCATTTCCAGGGAGGTGTAGGGGGGCTGGTTATATAATAATAACTCTTTAATACACTGTGGTCTTTACATGGCAGACTGCTTGGGCACAGTGGATCTGATTGCTGAGTATGTGTGTGTCTGTGATTTAGATCTTTTTCAGTCCATGGTGTATGTTGGATAGTTTACTGTCTTAAAGAGCTTCTGTTGCATTCAAGCAAACACTCATTCTAGCAAACAGCTCTCACTGACCTGCCGGGGCACTGCTTTCCTGCATTTTCTTTCCCATCCCTGTTGATTGCCAGGACATTATTACCCAGACCTTGAACTGAACCTGGCCAGCCTTGAGCGGCAGGAGGGATGAAAAAAGGACCAGCAGCTCTGTCTCTACCATTGGAGGGAGAGAATGAGGAGGAGGGGTGAGAGGTTAGCATGATTAGCTACCTGGATGGGGGTGGAAGGCAGGCAAACAGTGTGGGGAACGTGACTGGCTTGGCCATCCTGTCGCATGAGAGAAGGGCAGTTTTGCCCTCAGTGTACATAAACAGTCTGCTGGGTGGCCTGTTAGTGCCCTGTTGGTGTAAGACCTCGGGCTCCTGTCGTGATTGTGTAGAGGGCGGGGATTAGGCCAGTCCCCTCTCCAAATATTTTGCCAGACCCCCTTACTCGCTAGAGTAGCTCCATTGGAGTCAGTGTGACTACTCACGTGGGGAAGGAGAGCAGGGATCTCAGCTTAAACAGACACTCACCATCTGGCATTGGTTATACAAGCTAATCAAGCTGCGGCCGATATCCCCCCAGATTGGTCTGTGTCTCCTCCCAGCCCCCTCCCACCGCGTCTGCAACAAACGAAATCTTTCCCTTTTCCAGCCAGCCTGTTCCTCCTGCCACAGTCACTCGCTCATTCCCCAGTCACCGCCCAGCCTGTCATAGCCAACGAGCTGGGACATCCCTGGAGAAATTGGGCAGAAGGCAGCTAATTATAAAAGCGCGCTTCTATTTATACACCAATCGATTGGCAATCAGCAGCGATGGGAGCAGCGCACGGTCATGCAGTAGGGGAGTGTGTCGTAAAGAGGGTTGGAGGTGACGCCGTGTCCTTCTCATCCAGCCTCCTCTCTGTTCTGAGTCTCACAGGCATTGGCTTAGTGTATGAGGCACCAAGGAGTATTATTATTAGTCACTATCTATAGTACAGAGGCCCCATTGTGCCAGGCACTATAGATTCAGCTGGGAAGAGACAGTCCCTGCCTGTAAGCACTTACAGTTTCAATAGACCAGAGGGAGCGCTGTCTCTGGTTGAGGTGGTGGGCGATACTGAGGTTACCCAGACGGCATGCGATGGAGGTGGGAGTTGAACCTGGATCTCCTGAGTTCCCAGCCACTATCTTAGCCACAAAGCCATCCTGCGCCTGCCCTCACACACACAGTATTAGGCAGATCTCCAGCCACGGGGGCTGGGGAGGAATTTCCCTCTGTGATGTGATGGCTTTGCCACGCTGGAGGCTGAGTTGAGGGTGGGAGAATGTCGCCTTCCTGTGATGCATCTTGGAAGGGTGTACACTGAAGCTAGGCTGCAGCATGAAGATGTGGTGCCATAACTGTGGTGTCCATTGGGCTGTCGCCTCCAGGAGCTTGGGATGGGTCCGTGTGATAGGAACCTGCATCATCCCAAAATCTGAGACAGGTGGGGGGTCCTGGGACAGCAGAGGCAGGAAACCGTGAGTGCACATGCAGATGTTCTGCCAGGCGCAGGCAGTAGGCGCGCCCACCGAGGAGCCCAGCTCTTACTAGGGAAGGCAGCTAGGTGAGCGCCTGAGGGTCACCTCTCCAAATGAGCACATTGTTGTGCTCACTGTCTTCCAGGGCTAGTGCTTAGGGCCACCAAGAGCATGTCTGCACTGCAGTCCAAGGCAGGATTGCAGCACAGTAGGCGGACCTGCGTGACCACCGCTAAAAATAACAATATAGATGCAGCAACACGGCTTCAGCGCTGGCTGTACCAGCATGCCAGGGACCCTGGGTGTGCACGCTCCTTGCCGGCCCATGCTGAAGACCGGGACACCTCATCTGTGCTGCGATTTTTCAACTGTGCTAGCGCAGGTAAAACTAGCACCGGTACATCTACCCCAGCCGCAGTCCTCCCTCAGGCTGCAGTGCAGCCCTCCCCCAAGGAGCCATCCATAGGTCTCTTTTGGGCAAGCTGCTTGTTGTTTCCAATCACCCAAATTAATACTGTAGTGGCAGCTGTGGCCCTTTAAGAACCAAACGCCGTTTTTGTCTGAGAAAGAGCCACGATCAAGATTCAAGGGGGTTCAAGCTGATGTTGCTTTTGTGCTGCTAAGGATGTTGCTGTCTGTGTTTTATTCACTGCAGAGTCACAATAGTTACCTAGACATCAGGCAATGTGGAAACAACCAAGAAACCAGCAGGGACAGAGTGTCTGTATCCTCGCCTAGCTCCCGGCGATCTTCACACACCGCACTCTCCGACACAGCATGTACGTATCCTAGCCAGCATCGACAGAGCCCAGCAAAGGCGAGGTGCCGTACTAACGTATTGGCCGCTTCAAAAATCCCTACACCTCAAATCTCAGTTGGAAGTTTTAAACTGTATCGCGACACCTAAAAAACCGTGTGAGGGGACAGTCTGCTGATTGGCTAGTTTATATCTATCACAGCCGTCTGAACCCAGAGTAGCCCCCTTTGACATCTTTGGGGCTCCCCGGGCACCAGGATGGGACCACGCCTGGCCTCTGAATGCACCGGCCTTTCCCAGCAAATGTACCACAGTGAAGCTGCCAGGGTTAGTGAAGGCTGTGTCTTCACTGACAAAGAAACGGTGTGTTTTTACCATACGACAACTACCGCGCATTAGTCACCCGGCTGTGGAAGCAGAACGCAGACAAGGCATCTGTAGTTTTACCGCACGGTAAACTAGGCGAGGCCAACCCTGGGCGGGAGTTTAGCACGGGCCTTGCCTCGCTCCCTCACGGAGGTTCAGAGCCTCGTCCCCATTGGGATTTTACAGCGGGTTCGCTAACACGCTTTGGTCATCTCGCTGTAAAACCACCTTTTTTAAGCTGTGACGATAAAGCCCAAGAGCCCAGTGCTTGTGAGAGGGGTTAATCGAGGGAGGAGGCAGAGAGTTTTGGCCTTCTTGGTGGTCCTCCTTTCCCCAGCGAAGACACCTAGATACTGCAGCGGCAGGTGCCTTGGAAATATATGTTGTCCATGCAGCCAGGCAGGTGGGGTTTGGGCAGTGATTGGGAATGGGGCGAGAGCCAGTGAGTGCAGAGATAGGGGAAGGTTGTGTGAGGAGAAGGCGTGGGTGGGTCAGAGAAGGAGATGACTATTAAATGAGCAGAGAGGGTGTTAGAGCAGATATTTTTGTGAGGTCCAGCAGTGTCTTGGGGCGCTGGGTAGCAGCTGGGCCTGCCACGCCTCCACTCCTTCTGGTTCCGTTAGAATAGGAGAACCCGTCTGATGGCCTCATGCCGTTACTTCATCTAAAAGGAACTTATCTTTTGCAGCCACATCATCCATGCGGCACACAGAGGCCAGCACTCCCACCAGGCAATCAGTGCCGATGGGTCAGCAGGAGAAGGCGTCTCTGAGGCTGGCCTCGAGCGGGAGCGCACAGGTAGATAACCCTGCGAGCGATGGCCTTTCCAGCGTGCGCTTAGCAATGCAAGGGGGAGACAGTGATTTCGGCGGTGGTGGGTTTCGTGGGGGGGCAGGTGTTGGTGGCCTGTGATACACAGGAGGTCCAACTAGCTGGTCTGGTGCTTCCTTCTGGCCTTATGAATAAGAAGCTTCTCCCTGGTAAGGTGGGCTACTGCACAGCCCTCACACAGGGCTTGAGATGACCCACAGCAGAGCAGCAACACGGGGTTGTGGAGCACGGCAGAGCAGTCTGCACTACACCTCCACATAGGCAACAGCGTCCGTGCTTGTGTCGCTCAGATAGCTACAGTACCCCAGGCCAGTGTGGTGGGGGAAACGTGCCTGCTATCCCAGGCCATAGACTGGCTTAGTACCCGGAGGAGAGGGCACTGCAGGCCTTGTAGTGCCTGGGGTTGACTTTTGCTTGCCCGGACCCAGGCGAAGCCCAGTTTTCTCAGGGTTTGTGTGGGTGAAGAGAGTTTCACCTGGAAAGGGAGTTTTCAAATAAAGATTTGCAATTAGCGGTGGTAAGTGGAAGAGGCCAGATTCATCCTTCCAGCTGTGCTGCCTCCAGTGGAGTTACCGAGGGCTCGCTCTGTCCCCAAGGGAATGGTCGGCACCTGTTTCAATTGGTAAAACTGCCAGTCGGTCACTTATTCCAGCCCCACGTGGAGCGGTCTCTCCAACTGTAAACGTGTGGCACACTAAGGTCTCAGAAATGCGAGGAATTCAGCAAGGTAGAATGGGCGTGTCCACAGGCCACGTGAGAATGTCTTCCCTTGTATCTGGCCAGCGCTGATGCTTGGAGAGCGGGAGTCCCTTGGGGTAACACATTTGCTTCTGGCACTCGGTAACTCTCTTGGCCCTCACGTCAGGTGCACTGTGGTCTAAACCAAACCATTGTTCTCTTCCCCAGGCAATAGTAACTCCTCAGGCATCCGCTGAACATCTCACTCAGCACCATGTGGCCCAGCCAACAATTCCCTCGCAGCAAGCTGTGATGGTACGTGGTTTGGTTTTGTGAAGATCACGTTAGCCCTTGCATGGCCAGCAGATTGTAACATTATTGTAGCATAAGGAGAGGTCTGAAATCATTGCCCAAGAGACTCAACTAAGGCTTGAGTTAGCAGCGCTTTTCCTCATTGCTGGATGCACCAGTTTTGAGAGCTGGAGACCTTTGTTCTGGTTCCAGCAACAGCGTTCTCCCGGGTTATTTTAACTGGGTCTGTGCCGACGCCGTCGAGCGGCCCATCGGAGAAGCATACGCAGGCAGGCCCCGCCGATGACGGTTCCTGAGCACTCTGTGATATGAATGATACTAGCGTTAGCTTAGCAAGCTACTTGGGTCAGAAACAAGAATTTGACATGCTCCTAGTTCAGCTGTTTGCATCCCTTCTTTTGCTCTTGTTCACTCAGGACTAGATCCTGGCATTCCCCTGAGTAAGGGGCATTGTGTACTTGCACTGCGCCATGAGCAGCCCAGGGACCGAATTGTGGCTCAGAAAGTCACAATCCGGGCCCTGTTTCCACCTTTGCTCTAGACCAGTGGTTCTCAAAGTTGGGCCGCCGCTTGTTCAGGGAAAGCTCCTGGTGGGCCGAGCTGGTTTGTGTACCTGCAGCGTCCGCAGGTTCGGACGATCGCGGCTCCCATTGGCTGCAGTTCGCCGCTCCAGGCCAATGGGAGCTCCGGGAAGCGGCGCAGGCCGAGGACCGTACTGGTCGCCCTTCCCGCAGCCCCCATTGGCCTAGAGAGGCGAACCGTGGCCAGTGGGAGCTGCGATGGGCTGAACCTGCGGACGCAGCAGGTAAACAAACCGGCCCGGCCCACCAGGGGCTTTCCCTGCACAAGCGGCGGCCCTAGTTTGAGAACCACTGCTCTAGAGGGAGGAACGGCTCATCAGCTCTTGACCCTGCACACAGGCTGCTGATGTGGGTAGCTGCACAGGGACGTCAGGGGGCACCTCACAGCCCCTTACTCCTTCCACGTGTATAAGGTGACTCATGACTGAGCTCTTACTTTGGGCTCAGGTTTTCCACTGACTTTTCCGGGAGCTGCATCGGGCCTGTAGCCCATTCAGAATCATTTTTAGAGTCAAGTGCCTTCCATTGTAAGGCTCATCGCAAGCTCCTGCCATTTATCCATTCTCTTTTGCAAGGAAGAAATGGAGCAAAGTAATGATAACCAATAAAACGTCACTAGGGCTGCAACGTTTGATAGGAAGAGTAGACAGCTTCCTAATAGAAACCTGACCTTTCCAGTACAAGAATAGAAAGATAACCAAAATCTGATTCACCACTGGGTGACTCCACATCTATGCTCGGTGGTGGTACACCGGCGTGAGATTCTAGTAACGCAGTGGTGCATCGACTTGCAAGTGTCCAATGTGTAATTTTTCAATATAGTCATCTTTTCCAGGGGGGCAGCTCCCCATATTTTGAGACGCCGTCTGTCCTGCAGGAGAGCATTCGCTTTTCTGCAGTCAGCAGCAATATTAGTTCATCCAGCGAGGTGCTAACTGTGAGGTGTTTTCTGTTCTCCGCAGCCAGTGTACCACTTCCCAGCCCAGTTAGGGATGATGCATCAACTAAAAGAACAGCTGGAGGAGAGGACGCGCATACTGCAAGCTGACATCAAGACACAGCAAGAAGAGCTCCATGTTATCAAAGAGCAGCTCCAACTAGTGCAAGATTCCAATCTGCAGGTCTGTGAATCTGTTCCAGTGCCCCTCGCTCTCCATGTCTGATTCCCTGGGCCCAAAGTATCATTTGATTTTATCTTAACCATCAGAAGGGTCCAGACGGGTAGGAAAAGAGCCCAGTGGGCAGGGGTGAAAGTAAGTCCAGTGACTTACCGATACGCTGGGGCCAGCTCTGGCCCCCGGAAGGGGCGGAGCCTAAAGCAGAAGGGGCGTGGCTGTGGGAGTCAGAGCCAGCCCCAGCCCACCCTGTAAGGTAAGTGCCCCGTCCCCACCGGGGTAGCAGCAGCAGCCTGGGGCTCCGAGGGCTATTTAAAGGACCTGGGGCTCCCCTGCTTCTACCGCCCCGGCCCTTTAAATAGCCGCCAGAGCCCTGGGGTAGCGGCGGTGGGTCTCCAGCAGCTATTTAAAGGGCCCAGGGCAGTAGAAGCAGCTGAAGCCCCGGACTTTTTAAATAGTCCCTAGAGCCCCGCAGCCCTACCCCAGGGCTCCAGCAGTGGGGCTCTGGTGGCAATTTAAAGGGCCTGGGGCTCCAGCCCCTGCTGGGAGCCCCAAGCCCTTTAAATTGCCCCCTGGGGAAGCCGGGCCACCCCGGTACGGCAAACCGGCTCTTGCCGGTACACTGTACCGGGGCGTACCGGCTTACTTTCACCTCTGCCAGTGGGGCATTTTCTCTCCTGCCACAAGGAAAAAAATGAGAAATAAACAGCGTCGGCAATGTATTCCTAAGCCCTTGAACTGTTGAACCGTGATCATTCCTGAAAGAAAGGGCGGTTTAGTGTTTGTAGCAGCAGGGCTGGAGGTTCTTGCTTCCCTGTTGTTTAAATATCAAATTGGTAATTGTGCCAAATCAAAAAATTCCCAAAGTTTATGTCTAATAAAAAGTCACCTACTCAGAAGAGCTTGGAGTTTGAATGATCGGGTAAGACTGCAGAAGCTCAATAGCAGATTTCCAGCTAAAAGTGACAGGGTTAATAGGATTGGGGTTGTCATGGATTCCACCTAACTACGTGGGCACAAGCGAACATTTGATTTTCTGTTATTCACAGTTCACTATCTTATTGTATTTTATGATTCTGCTGCAGCTGCTTTATGTATGTTGACTGACACAGTGTATGAGTTGGAGACACTGTGGCCCAGCTAACACAGTACAATCGAGTCCTGAGCATTCTGAAAACACTCTCTCACTGGGTGTGATTGTTCTATACCCTAATGTGAAATATACAGGGCCAGTTTGCCAGGAATTGGCATATAGCATTGCAGAGGGGAAGGAGTAGAGAGAAAGAAGGAAGGGAGAAGATTAAAGCAACAACCCACACAGCCCAACATGCCCGGGGAACAAGTGACACTGTTGGAACGTTGTTCAATGCTCCCTTCAACTGTTGTATGTCACTTAAGTACCACAGATAGATAGTGCATTTATGCCTAAGATTAAGCACCATCTAGTGGCTATTCCAATAATTACTGTAGTTGGCACCAGTAGGTTCTAGCCATTATAAAGACCTCAGGCAGGTTTCCTCCAAAATAAATCAATTCATGTGCTGTTAAAGGTCAGCAAGTGACTAGCTTTATTCCAATTAGAAGCTTTCACAGAGGAAACTCCATCACTGAGCTCTTCAAGTCAGAGGTGGGGAACTTACAACCTTACTCCCAGAGTTACTTTTTATTAATTCATTATTTAATCGGAATGTCTGTCTCTTAAAGTGTCTGGAATAAAATTACCTTGTAGCTCCCCCTAGTGGCTCATTACAGTATGAAGCGCTACAGTAGACGGTGATGCTATTATGGAAGATAACATATGCTTTGCTGTTTGAGAAAATACAGTATTTGTGTTCCATATTGGCCACTGCATAAAATAGCCACAAGTTGCAATAAAAGTATCCTTTGCACAGACTCATCCTGCAGTAACCTGAACAAAGCAATTCACTGCGTTGCACCATCCCCTGTATCCTTAGCTGCCACACAATTCCATAAAACAAGAGACTAGGTTTTAGCTTTGATACGAGCATTTCTGGGTGAAATGAAAGAATTCTGTATCATGCTATTCACTGGCTCTGAATGGTCACAGACTATTTGCAATGTTTATTTGGGAAGCCCGGTAACAGGGTTTTATCGTGTTATGAGGTTCTCAACGGTTGGTTTTCTGTTCTCTCTTAATGTTGTGTTTGAACAAGATAGGTTTAGAAAGCAGGCCCAAATTCTTCCTAAGGAATTAGAGGACATATATTGTTCATAGTATTACACAGGATATGTCCTGCTAGTGAAAGCCAGTGCATCATAATTGATGCCAATTTTTGGAAAAAAAAACTTCCTCTAATTAAGGAGAGGTGGCTATTCGAATCAAATATGACACTAAGGAAGGCAATGATGACTCTTCACCTGTTAGATTAAGTCATGAAAGAAATAAGTAGATGTGACACTAAAATTAATGACAGCACAAAACATGGGAAAGCAAATGCTCTTCAGATATCCTGAGCTTGGTGACACTGGAATCACTGAGTATGCTTTAATTCTGGAAATGGAATGTTCTCCAGAAATGATTTACACAGGAATTTTTTTGGTATCTACAGACTGTCCTGTGATCCCTTTTTTTTTAAAGAGCTAACTGCAGATCACCCCTGGTGTAAAGTTGTTTTGTGACATTAAAGCACACATGCATCATAGATTATTTTGTATTTAATCCGTGCATTGGATTTGTCACTGATTATAACAAACTATGGTGCAGCTAGAACAATAGTGACTGCATCCATTTCCTCCTTTTATCCAAAAGTCAACAATGTACAAATATACTGAAAAATAATCCAGTTTTATAAACTGAGAGCTGAACTTTACTAACTATAATCTGATCAGATTTACTGTGCATGATTGGCATCACTTTCATTTGCATGCACTTTTAATTTAGCTGTTCACTATTCTCTATTCAAAGTAGCAAAGAGCTTGAAAGAGAGAAAAGTACAGTTGATCATTCTAAATGGATATCATTCACCAATGAGTCAGTCAAATATGGAGAAGGGTCTGGTGGGCTGGTAAAAATTCAGTCAAACTACAGTGCCAGAAATATAGGATTGGGGAATAGCTGAGAAAGGATTGACACAAATTAGATCTACTCCTTAACAAATACGTTAGGGGGAAAAAATAAAAATCAGCTCTGTATATTAACCACTTCACTGCTGCAGAATGTACCAGATTCCGCCGGCAAACATGGCCTTGTCCATTGTAATATTGGTTTCGTATACTGAAAATAGCCACATGCACAAAAGCCCATGTAGGGCTTTTTACTGTAATTAGTACACGTGGGAATGTTGCATGAGTAAAGAATACAGGCTCAGCAACTAGAGATGGTGGTTTAGATACGTATCCGTGTTCCTTTAGTCCTTCTTCTCTGTTGAGGCTGACCCCCCTGTGGTGAGTTTTGTGATCTAGGCACGCACAGCCCAACATCTGGACTGCAGGTTCCAGTTGTTTTGCAAAAGCCATCAGATTCCAGTGACTTTCAGTTTTGATTTGATTAAGCTTCGTTAGAGCTAGTGAACTAGAGGTGAAACTGTCTGTATTTCAATACCATGTTGCTAAGCCATGGCAAAGGACCTGGTTTTATTGGATATAAGGAATCCAGCACAATTTATGTTAATGTATCGATTTAATAGATCTTGGGAACACTGTCTTTTGCACCAGCAATATTGTACATTACATGAGAGCTTACTGTAGCACAGTCAGGTAGATGCATTAAAAAATTAAATGCAGAAACTGCTGTACCAGCTCATGTATCTCTTTCTTACAGATGCTGATGCAACAACCTATGCCCTTAGTCTTTAACAACGTACAACAACAGAGCCCAAGAAGGCCTTCCCAACCACAGCAGCCAGGGGCAACCAGGCAGACCACAGCCAAGAAGTCTCAGCAGCAAGGCCTTATGGGATCCAAACACTATAGTGCCCCACACTTACCATCACCACATCAATTCCTCAGGGAACCTTGTGTCACTTCCTCACAGGTTGCTAACTTCTTGGTTTTCTTCAATAGCAATTGAATGTTCTTTATAAATGGCTCTTGTAAATATTGCACGTCAGCTCGTTTAGGGACAGATCCATCCCTAGGGCAACTCCACCTGACTTGGCTGGAGTTGCACCAAGTTTGACGCTGATGCCCGGGCCCTGTGGCTCCCTCCACTTTACCCTCCCCCCCGCTAATGAGCACAATTCTCTTCGTGCCTCCTGAGTCTAGGTTTCATGCTGTAGTGGGTGGGACGTGCGTCACTTAATCAGCTTTAAGACGTTACTTTGTTTCACATGATAAATGTAGATGATGTCACTTTGCTGTAGTATCTAGAGATTTAATGGCCTAACGGTGTTAGACGTAAGAGAACCAAAATCATTCCTGGTGGAATTCTGTTGAAGTTAGTGGAGTCACACCAGAGATCTTTTTGGTCCTATGATTCCAGTTCTGCTCTTAGTTAGACCAGAGGCTATCTGGAATAGCTCAGGTGTAATCAGTGGGAGTTACACTGCTATAACTCAGAGAAGAAGGCATATTCGTAGAGGAAGTACAAGAATCCGTTAGTGAGGACTCCAGATTTTTCAGTCACCTTCTCCCACTATAGGTTCCTTCCTTCCATCATATCTGTGCTGCTTTCCTCCTTCTGTTATATTCTGATTTTGAAAAGACAACTTATTTTTATAGCAAAGTCTCCCAGCACCTGCACAATGGCCACTGAGGGATACCCACTGCAGAAATGCTATTTGCACTCAACAGATCTGCTGTCTGTCCCCTGTTGTATTCAGGGAGCAGAAAGTGCCATTGTCACATAGTCTGCCTTCTAAGTGCACGTTAAAGGTAGATGGTCTCTACCATGGAGTCGATGCATCTAATCGGGACAATTTTTTATGTCTCAGGTACAGCAGCAGCAGCAGCACTTAATGAGAGGCAGCCAGGCACCGCAAACCTGTCTGCCAGCGCAGACAAGCATTTCGATGCCCCTCTACAACAGCCCCATGGTGTTTTCCCAAACTCATCCCATCACTGTCTCTGCTCAGATGCCGACGGAAATGAGTGAAAGGCAACAGCCGTCTGACTACAGCCAAGATAGGAGTCTAAGGTAGGAATGCAATCAGTGCTGGCTCTTGATGAGGTCTGAGTGGGAGGAACATATCATTGTGCACTAGACTGGGCAGCAGTGAAGTCTTGGCTTTCATTCTACACGTCAGGAGCTATGCTTTACTAAAGCTTTACTAATGCCTCCATGCATATGCCTCCCATATAACTTAACAGGTTTTTAAGCAGGGGATGTACTATTTGCCTTGCTTCGGTCAGGGGGAGCTGAGCTTTTGGTTTCAGGGGAAGAAAGAGGCAAAACTAGTGCTTCCCATAGTTTTCTCGTAGTTGCCCAGGAACGCCAGAATATCCGTTCTCCTGCCAGGATGGATGCCCTGGAAATAGCCCTTTTCAGTGCAGTCCTGCTAGCCGTCCATGTGCAGAACTCCCATGAAGTCTCAGCAGACATTGGTTATATAAAGGGCTCTCAGGATCAGGCCCTTTCAAAGGTGCTTGCAGGATCAGGCCCTTTATAAAAAAGTTGCCTGGAGGCCTTTCTGTCTAAAAGAGGTTTTAGATCATTAAACATGTTAAGGTCAAATTCCCATGTAATCCAGGGTGGAATTTGGCCCGAATATTGTTATCAATTGTTGTGTGCTATGCACTTTACAGACACAGCCCCATCACCACCCAACCCGGCTCTCTAAACTACCATGCAAACACTTTAACTTTTGGTATGTGTTGTGAGGCACCTGGAACTCTTCTGTGGGCAGATGCCGGCTAAATGTGTGTTGGTGTCCAAAGCAAATGAAAGAACCGGATCCTTAATTTGCACGAGGGCGGGACATTATAATGTTAACAAGATCAGTTAAACATTTGTGATCTGAAAGGCTTAGACGTTTCAACTCAGAGCTGTGGTCTCTTTAGAGCAGATGATAAAATTGTGATCTTACATTATGTGCGCATAAGCATTCAGGTCCATTATCTTGGATGGAATGAGTTCGTGAAGAGTTGAGAGCTTTCACGGGGGTAGGAGACTAGAGATTGACTGTGAAGAATCTGAGCATAGGAAAAAACAAATACCTTTTCTGACGGTGCCATGTTTTCATTCTTGCGTAGAATGTTGTTAGATCAGCCGGTCCAAGCCTTGATGCCCTGTGCTAATGGCAGTAATCAGTCATCACAAAGCAGTGCTGGCAGACAGCAAGCAAAGTAAGTCTGCCCTGTTACTACTGTACAGCAGTGAGCTTTCTCTTCAGCGGCTTTGTCCACGTGCAAGATCTTATTGGGGTTCTTTTCGGGGTCATGAAAATGATCAAAAACATTGGTTACCAAAAAAGAAAAAAAAATCAGTGGTAAAGAGATAAGTAACTAGAGCTGGTTGAAAAAAAAAATGAAGTCGGGTTGGTTTTTTTAATGAAAAACATCCCTTCGATGAAATAGAAAATTTTCCAAGTAAATTTCAGTTCTCATCCAGATTTTTCAGGCTTTTATTGAAAACTAAAATCTGACATTTTTTGGGGGGGAGGGGGTTGGCAACCATTTGCTGCGTTCAGTTTCAGAAAACCGACAATGTTCCGGTTCTGGTTTTTCACCAAAATTCAAAGTTTTTGACAGAAATGAAAAAATGTTTGTTGAGAAATGTTCACGGGAAATAAAATACATTCCCTGTCCAGCTCTACACTGACTGTACTAGAGAAAAAAAAGTTTTGCTACTGCGCTGTTGCCCATTGGCATAGGTAAACGCTGTGCTGTGTTCTTATGCTCTAACCCGTTCATCTTAACACAGCTGCAAACCTTTCAGGGTTGGGCTGGCGCAGAAGTTTAGTACTAATCACCTTATTTCTATTGTTGTTGTTTCAGTAGCACCCAGAGATGCCACCCCTATTGTGCTAGGCGCTGTACTAACATACAACAAAGTATTGGTCCCTGCCCCAGAGAGCTTTAAATCGAAGTACATCGATGGATGTGGTTGTTTCATTGATCAAAGAGCTGCATCTATTTAGCTTAACAAAGAAAAGGTTAAGGGGTGACTTGATTGCAGTCTGTATGTATCTACGTGGGGGAAAATATTTAATTACGGGCTCTTCAGTCTAGCGGAGACAGGTATAACACAATCCAATGGCTGGAAGTCGAATCTAGATAAATTCAGACGGGAAATAAGTGTAAATTTTTAATGGTGAGAGTAATTAACTGTTGGAACAATTTACTGAGGGTCATGGTGGATTCTCCATCACTGACAATTTTAATATCAAGATTGGATGTTTTCCTAATAGATCTGCTCTGGGAATTATTTTGGGGCAGTTCTCTGGCCTGTGCTATACAGGAGATCAGACTAGATGATCACAATGGTCCCTTCTGGCCTTGGAATCTGTGAATCGATGAATCTCTTATTTAAACTGGCCATGTCACAAGACTCGTGATTTCGGTGGGGTTGCAACCATACAGCAGAGCCATCAGCTTCTTCAAATCAGATACTCTTGTTCTCACATGTGGAGTTCCAGTATGAATTCCACTTCATTGTACTGATAAAGGACGTGGGAGACATGGGCGGCTGGTGACCCAGCCATCGGGGGAGGCTAGGCCCTGCCCCTCCCCTTGTGCCTGAGGTCCCCCCACTCCCCCAGCTCCTGGTGGTGCATCCGAGTGCCGGCTGGGCAGCACGGGCCCAGTGCCATGGCAGAGAACTGCAGGAGGGGGCCTGGGGGCAGAGCGTGAGCGGGGCCTTTCCAGGCTGTTTGGGGAGGCACAGCCTATGCTACCTGCCGCCCTTGATGGGAGATCTTTGCGGCTAGTCTGGTACATTTTCCAGGCTGTTTTTTCCAGACTGCATTTTGCTTTGTTTTAATCAGCGTAGTTCTCCGGCGTTTATTCTCATGCTGATTCATTGTTTACCTTCTATTAGTGTTTTATTTTCCTTCTGTCTACAGATTTGTTCCAGAACAGCAGATGCTGCCTCCCCCATTACAGATGCAGCCAATTACGTGTAGCACAGTCAGGGCTCCTGACCCTTCTCCTGTATTTACCCCTTCGGTCATGATTCCACAGGCCAACTTCACTTCCCACCAGACGCAACCTCCAGTTCATCTCCATCAATGGCCACCCCAACAACAGGTTCAGCAGCAGCATCTCTACCTGCAGGTAGTACACTTGGGCGGGGTTTGTAAATGTCAATCAGACAGTTTAGAAGGAATGGCTCTTACGTGACTTGAATACGTCTGTCTTATCTTACATGACCCCCATCCCCATTGTACCTATACACACCTACAGCCTGCCCTATATCACTGGAATTGTCAAAAATGGTCAGGACAGTTGAGACCATGTTTTCAGAAGAACTTAACTCTCATTTAGAATAGAATAGAATAGAATCCTAGAATATCAAGGTTGGAAGGGACCTCAGGAGGTCATCTAGTCCCACCCCCTGCTCAAAGCTAGACCAATCCCCAGACAGATTTTTGCCCCAGATCCCTAAGTGGCCCCCTCAAGGATTGAATTTACAACCCTGGGCTTAGCAGGCCAATGCTCAAACGACTGAGCTATCCCTCCCCCCCCAAAATAAGTGGCCAGATTTTCAAATGCAGCTCAGCACCCAGTACATGGAGCTTTCTGGAAAATCTGGCCGGGAATGTTAAGCATTGGGAGTTGCTGGGTCCAAAGCACTTTTGAAAATCTGGCCCATGTGCCTGTAGTATCCGAGCAGACTGTAGGGTGACCAGATGTCCCAATTTTATAGGGAAAGTCCTGATTTTTGGGTCTTTTTCTTATATAGGCTACAATTACCCCCCCACCCCCGTCCCGATTTTTCACATTTGCTGTCTGGTCACCCTAGCAGACTGTGGTGGTGTTTTTTTAAACCAGCCACATGCTGCTCTTTATTCAAATAATTAATTGGGCCACCGAGCAAACCTTTCGCCAAGACAGATTTGATTTTCAAGAACAAGGATCGTGCCCGTTTGATAAAACAGTTCATGGAAGGAATCACTGAGGCTAATTAATCATTGAAAATAGTTTTCATTCTCTCAAAAACGGAGTGGGTTTACAAAAGCTGTAAGTTTAATGGTTCATATGTCTGGAGGTATGTAGCAAAGTAATGGGAAGAGATCAGCTACAGATGGAACTAGTTATTCTGCAGGGCTGGTTGAAAAAGAAGGGATTACATAATAATCCCATCAGGATGTGGATTAAGACACATTCAGCACCGGCACAGAGACAACGTTTTACATTCAGCCTCATAGCACTTGTGTAAGGGTAGGTGCTGTCAGCCCCATTTTGTAAAAAACAGCAAAACTGAGAGCGTGAGAAGTCAAGTGACATGTCCAAAGTCACAGTAAGTCAACAGCTGCCTCACACTCAGTCCTTTTGGTTGCATTGCCGCTCACGGCCCACCTTTATTGTCCATGACCCATTCGTGTGTCACGCTGCAGGACTGCGTATTTCCTTGCAAAGATGAGAATTTCTGTCCCTTGTGAGATCAAACTTCAACACCACCAGGAACATGCCACGGTCTGGCTATGCTGCAGAGGCCTACTGCAGCCAGGCAGCATGGCTGGTCAAGGCCTATGCCCCATGGAACCCAGCTGAGCCACCGTATACAGGGGGGATGGGAGCAGGCTCCTGGCGCTGTTGCTATGCGGATTTCCCAGCCATCACTCCTCGCAGGAGGAGGAGGGTGCAGGTGCTGCGGAGGCTTCTAGACCTCAGTAGTAGCCATTGACAGTTACACTCACCCAGACTGGAGCCTTCCCGTATGCTTCCCTGTGGGTTTGGCAATAGTAAGACTAGCCCCACGGGTTGGGTACTTGATTGTCTGCGGTTTAAGGAGTGCAAATAACTTTGGCATCCAAACTGAGTGCCCAGAAAATTATGTTGAAACTTGAGGCCCTCGGGGTAATTGAAACTTGAGGCCCTGTATTTTGCTCCCAGACTCTGTATGTTCCTTTGATAGCCGCTTCCAGACTCAGACCCACCCTTTCCAGAGCACTGCATTGAACAGCCAGAAGAAGCTAGATCAGGGCACCAGGAGAATCTGCGTTTGCTGGGAAACCCGTCTGATTGTATTGCATTTCCTTTCTACAGATGCAAGCCCCAGAGCCGGTCCAGGGGAGTCAAAATCAGCGTATTTTCCAGCCATCTCATATACCGCAGCAGAATACCATGGGCTACTTCCTCCATCCACAGCAACAAAGCCACCATCCGCAGGGTCAGTCCTGCAACCTACAGGACCTGCCTGAAATGCAGCTGCCCTGAAAGCCAGGGCATGAGGAGACGGTGACGAGTCGCAGCTGCTGTGCGGAGCAGGCGTCAGGGGAAGGACGGCGAAATTCGAGGCGAGGAGGCCCTCCTCATGTGCCAGAGGGGTGAGGGTTAGCCCAGAGGGAAACATGGCAGCGTGGAGGAAGGGCCCAGCAGGAGAGCAGGATCGCCAGATGGGTACCGTGTCGATTACCATTTTTATGTATTCAGTCCTTGATGTTGCACAGCGACAGGATCAAAGCAAAGTCTGGATTCATTAAGCACCAGGACCGTGCGACTAAACACAGTTTAACTGTGATCCGCTAGAACTCCCGTTCACGTACATCCTGTCAAGAGGGGCTATTAAGTGCTAAAAGTATTTGGAGGCTAAAATCAGGATAGTAGGAACTGGTTGTGGTGCTCTTGCCTGCCAACGCTAATCTGCAAAGGCGGTTAGAGACTTGTTGATCAAAAATGGTTGACTTAGGTAGGAAAATGATCTCTGAAGTCAGATGTGGCTGTTGTTGGTCACTAAGCCATACACAGCACAGCAGGACAATTCCTTTGGACGGCAATATGGATTTCTAGCTGCAGGCACGTTATTAATCAGGTCAGTGCAAAGATCGCTTTGCAACTGAGAAAATATTTTCAGTTCAGGACACGGATGCTCCTTTTAAACGTTGCTGAAATTCACTGTGAATTTAAGACCAGTGTTTGGAACACGGAAAACTGTCAGCAGGATCCCATTTAATTATCGTGTACATACTTCGCTTTGTTGTAGTAGGTTCGTTGTGGATTTTGTTTTCCTTTTTTCCTATACCTCAAGCCCAGAATTAGTTTTTTTTTCAGATGATTGGATAATGCTGCTAATTTCTGTAACACCACTCTTGCCTAAATTTCGTACTGTTGTTATACCAACTCACGTCACCATTAATAAGATACGTGTGCAGATAAATTTATATCTTTTTATTCCCTGTAGCCAAGTATTTTTCGGGGTGTACCGGCAAGGAGTCCTTACATTTTCCACGGGACCTTTGCAGTACATGGTTCTTTACACCTGAAAATCAGATGAAGGCAAACTTTGTGGTTTTGCTAGTTCATGGTTCAATTTGGCAAAGCTGAAATTTATACTAACAATGACCCAGGTGATATTCCAAGCCTATAGGGTTAGCAATAAATTGTATTTTTGTAAATTGTCACTTTTTAACTATATGTTTATATTTATGAACTGACAAAAATGTCTATTCCTCAGTGGGTGTATAGTAAAGTGGCCCTACTGTTTGTGTCTTTCCAAAGGAAAATGAATATTTAATTTTTAGATGGTTTTTTTTTTTTTTTTTTAGTAACTGAGTGTTAGATTTGGGTCATGCTCGATCCCAAACGCTGAAGACAATTTATGCCATTAATACCAGCTTTCTGAGACAATGCTTGGATACTTCCTTAAAGCAAAAACAAACAAAAGCAATGGCAAAGTCAGAACATTGTGGCTGGCCCTCGGAATAGAGTTTAGGGAAAGGTTATTGTCTAACCTCGATCTAACCTAATCAATCTGCTCTTTCTAGGCACTTTTGGGACCCCTCCCGTCACCATGAGCTCGGGGTGCCAGCCTCTAGTAGTTGAGATGAAACAGATGAGGCTGAATGCATGGTGAGGTCAAACTGGATCCAGGGCTGGCTCCAGGCACCAGCCTGGCAAGCAGGTGCTTGGGGCGGCCGCTCCGGAGAGGGGCGGCACATCCAACTGTTCAGCGGCAATTCGGTGGACGGTCCCTCACTCCCGCTCGGAGCGAAGGACCTTCCGCCGAATGGCCGCCGGAGAGCGGGGTCGCGGGTTTTTTTTTTTTGGCTGCTTGGGGCGGCCAAAACCCTGGAGCCGGCCCTGGCTGGATCATAGTGAGCAGTAGAGCTGTGCTCAGCACTGCTTGGAAAAGGTGACTGTAAGTCACCATTGGGCTGCCAAACCTACCAAAGCTGGGCTCACGCGGGAATGCTTTATTTTAAGCCAGCTCCCAAAGACTGTTCAGGCACCATGGGCTCACCGGGCATAGGGCCACACACTCCCCTCCCCCCCCAGTCACACCCCTAGGCTGTATAGCAGCCCTGTGCCACAGCAGGCTTTCCCAAGGCATCCTCAGCCACTTTGCCCTGGTGGCGGCTGCGGTCCAGCCAAGCCTCTGGGTTATGATGTTTCTTTGGCCACTTTAAAAACCATTTCCAAAGAATGTAAAGGTGCATGTTCGTTTCCAGGCCTGCCTGGGCGTGTTTGGGCCCCACCCGCGCTCAGCTATTGGGCGCCTGCTTGCGAAACTGTGACCATGGACTCTGAGCAGAGCCGGGGCATGAGCATGTTCGAAGCGGGGTGCCTGGCTTTGCCTAGGAAGGGTGTGGAGCAACTGGCAGGCTCAGGCTCACCCCGGCTGCAGTCTGGGTGCCCTGCTGCTGGCGGCAATACTTGTTTGCACCTTGTGTGGGGCATTGAGAACCATATTAATTAGGTCTAAACATTTTAGCATTAAAACTCAAGTCACCGTTCGGGTGACTAAGGCTAGGTCTACACTACGGGGGTTGGGGGGAGGTCGATCTAAGATACGCAACTTCAGCTACACGAATAGCATAGCTGAAGTTGCGTATTTTAGGTCGACTTACCTGGCTGTGAGGACAGCGGCGAGTCGACCGCTGCCGCGCCGCCGTCGACTCCGCTTCCGCCTCTCGCTGCAGTGGAGTTCCGGAGTCGACGGCAGAGCGATCGGGGATCGATTTTATCACGTCTACACTAGACGCGATAAATCGATCCCCGATAGATCGATCGCTATCCGGCGGGTAGTGAAGACGTGCCCGAAGAGGAGAGCAGCACATACTGTTAGGGCAGAGCTCTGTTCCATCAGGCCACACCCTAGCACTGCACAGCCAGCATCAGTCACCAGCGGAGAAAAGATGTGTGTTATCTCTTTTCATAGCTTGGTTGGAGCCCCGTGTACAATATGCTACTATGCCATGGTGGTGTATCTAGAAAGGAAGGGAGCTTAACAATGAGAGGTCGAGGAGGCAAAGTCTAACCCCCTAGCTGCACTATATGACCTGGGGCAAATGCATAGGCTGGAATTGGCAAATGTGCCCATTTTTTTTGGCTGGCTCAGTGAGTGGAACTCAGTTTTTGGCCAAGGCAGCCAGGGTGACGGTTGGGCTTGCAAGTTGGGTACCAAAGATTAGCCGGCAAAAAAAAAAAAAAAAATGACAGAGAGTCCTGTGGCACCTTATAGACTAACAGACGTATTGGAGCATAAGCGTTTGTGGGTGAATACCCACTGCGTCAGACGCACTTCGTCACCCACGAAAGCTCATGCTCCAATACGTCTGTTAGTCTATAAGGTGCCACAGGACTCTTTGTCGCTTTTTACAGAACCAGACTAACACGGCTACCCCTCTGATACAAAAAACAAATGTTGGCCTTAACATCACTGAGCTCCTGTTTAGAGTGTGTTTACCCACCTCAGCTGCCAGAGGTATAGGAATGGGATTGTCCCTGCCAATTCCTTGTGACTGAAGCGTGTTGTAATGTCAGGGACCATGGCTGGAAAAATGATGTGCAATAGCAACCGCCTTCCCAATGACGGCCTCAAACGTCTACTTAGCAAAGTGTTGTTTGTAGCTGTCTTTTACCTGCAAATACAAGGGGCACCAATTGTGCCCGTGGATGCACTTGGGTGATCCATGCTGTGGCCCAAAAATGGCCCCACATGTATAACAGGACGTGCCTCTTGGGAGCCATTGGCTGACACACTCGCACTCGGGGCTACAGGCAATTGTGCAATGTGTGGTACGTAACTAGCACTCGCACTGAAGATAGGGTGTGTTTTGCTTGAGGCCTGCTTAGGGCCTCTAAGAGCCTGGTTGGTACGTGAGTTGCTGCCGTGTATCCATTCCAGGGGTGTGTCATGCTACAGCAAATGTGGCTGAAAAGGCAAATAGCTACGGCCGCTTAGCATTAGTGCTTTGGGTTATAAGAACCCTTACGGCTTGCTGGCTGGGCGTGTTCGCAAACTCCTCAGCAAGGCTCCGTGTGTGGTACAGATGGCATGGAGTCCGTAACCTCCGTATCTTCTGCAGGGGCCAGTGTGGCTGAGCCCAGGGCTGCCCAAGCAGCTGGCTCCAGGGCCTGCTGCTCCGGTGGCTGCCAGGACAGCCACACCAGCCGCTGCAGCAGTCCCCAGCTGGCTGGGGCAACTGTGATCTCCTGGCCACAAGCACCTCCCCCCCCTCCAAGATTTAATTACAGATATAAGTCATGGACAGGTCACGGGCCATGAATGTTTGTTGATTGGCCGTGACCTGGCCATGACTTTTACTAAAAATACCCGTGACTTAACTGTAGCCTTACTCATGAGGGATGTGTCTTTGGAAAGGAATGGGATTCCACTGACAGTAGCAGTTTGTTCGTTCAACTCTTCATTGATAAAAAGGGCCGAGGGAGGGAGGAACCATTGGCATTCAGGGTCCGGCTCCTCTGAGGCTGGAGGGGTCCTACCCAGTTTGAGGAGAGGTGCACAGTGGTGGATTAGTGGGCCAATTAAGAGGGCCCCCCACACACACCCCGACCTGCTCCACCAGCCTGGCACTCCTGCCTGTCGGGGGAATGGACTAGCTGGCCTGCAGGCAGAAGAGGCGGGGAGGCCCCCCCCCCGGCTCTGGCCCCACAAACCCCTAATCCAAGGCTAGGGCTAATTGCACTAAGTGTAGCCCAAGCAGCGTGAGGGCTAGCTGCCCGCAATGAAATTCCAGCTGCACCCAAACACTCGTCACTCACATGGCTCAGCTACGGTTCGGTTTTTAGCACATGCAGTCTACAGCTACAGGCGCTGGACATGACCCCGCCAGCCCCAGTGCAGGCGTACCCTCAGCTACATGCTCGACCCCCAGGCTGTTTTGCTGCAGCTGAAAGTCATTGGTGCAGCACTCAAGGAACAAACATACACACCCCCCAGTTCACCAACCCGTGTGGGGCATGGCCCTTGTACAGGCCCAGCATCAAGGATGTGCCCTTCAGCACCAGTGAGCGTCGTCAGCCTGTAGCTCAGGTGCTGTGCGAAGGCACTACCACAGCGTCTGTTGTGGCACTCGTCTTACATTTGCCAAAGGGGGTTGGGGTTGAAATTTTTTTTTTTAACAAGCTTCTGTTTAAACCCCCCACCGCCGCTCTGTGCTCAGTACCTGCCACTACTTTTGTTAAAATGCTACGGTAGCCTTGGCTGACTTCGGGCCACTTTGGTACAATACTGCACTTGGAATGTGTTTCAATGGGGCCAAGACATGGACAAAAAAGTGTTACAGGAAACTGGCCAGTTA